AACTTCTAGCCCACCTTCCACAGGAGACCTGAACCTCTGATGCCAGGCACTGGCCCTGCTGGACACAAACATGCCTCAGGTGTGTCTCATCAGCCACATGCAGAGGCTTCTGGGGCTGCCCAGAACTTCTAAAGGTCGCCGGCTCAGCCCCTGGAGCCAGGGTGTGGCCAGTGCAGCCCTGCTCAGACTCTGGGGACCACATGTCCTCCAGGTGTCCCGGCCCAGTCTGTGCAAAGGGTCTGAGGCTGAGGAAGCTCAGGCAGATGAGTCCCAGGTGAGCCAGGAGCTGTCCCTGGCCCCAGGGTCTGAGTAGGGCCACCCTCTGGTGGTTTGGGGGTAAAGCCATCAGGAAATGAGTGCCGACCCCAAAGGAGGGCAGGGCAGTGAAAATGGAGGAGCCAGGGGTAAGAGTCAAGTTCAGCTCTGCCACCTCCAGGCTTTGTGATGACACAGAGCTTGTGCCTCTCTGTGTCAGGACCATCTTAGTAAACCTGGGACACCATTAAAACCTACAGGTGCAGTTACTGGGAGGATTGAAACAGTGAAAGTGTATATGGTTCTGATCTATCAACTGGTCCCTAAGGGGAACACAATAAAAATTAGTCACTGTTATTATTAAATTCTAAGGTGATGATTATAACAATTTGGCTTCCCTCTTGGTGTCAAAGGCAATAACGGAAGGAATGAATCCTTAGTAACTGGTAAGACCAGTCCCTGTCGGCCAGCCCGACACCTGCCTGAGCAGCCAGGAGAGTCTCAGGAATTGAAGGGAGCCACACACCCACAGGGTGGGGTGCTCAGAGCGGAGGGACAGTGGCCTGGGAGGCCAAGAGACCTCAATGGCCTGCTTTTGCCCCCAGGCCTGTTACCCTAAGTTTTGAAGACCTAGATAATAAGTGTCCTAACATCTTGCAATGACAACGCACGGGACTGTTGGGGGGTCCCTGCCCAGGGTCAGCTGGGGGCTCAGGAGTGCCATGCCCCCATATCTTGGGCATCATCCTTGGCAGGTGCCCATACAGGGCTCTCTGACCCACTGTGCCGGAGGGTAACTGTCAAGAGCACAAGCAAAGTCTCTCTGTGTCAGGAGACCTGAACCTCTGATGCCCCGCTTACATATTCATGGGCTGACACACCTGTGGCTCCTCAGTGCAGGTCTCAACAAAGTCACACAAGGGGCCCAGTTTGTCCTGAAAAGCAGGTGTGGCTGTGAGGAAACTTAAGGCTTGGCCACTGTCTTACGAGGGGGAGCGTCCCCTCTGGCTCTGTCCCCAGGGCATTGCCGACCCCACACTGCGGCCTCCACCGTGGGCAGGGGGCCCGTCAGCCTTGTGTGTTTGGGGTGAGATTACTGTCAGTCACTGAAAGTTTTGGAATTTGGAACAAATCAGAATTTTTGCTGAGGGAGAGTCACGGGCTACATTTAGAGGAAAAGGTCGAAGTTTGGAGGCAATCCAGAGTGACCACAGAGAGGACGTGAGGGGGAAACATGGGGTGGCCACGGCACAGGAGCTGGAAAGGTGGGGAACAGGGCCTGCATCTTGGGGACACACAGAGGGCAAGAGGACCCTTGTTCTGCTCAGGGGGGTAGGAGTTTCATGGGGACCAGAGGAAGGCAGAGAACAGACCAGAAAGTGGCCCTGGGCCCAATGGCAGGTGGCATCATGGATGCCAGAAGCTGTGGCTCAGGCCCCTCTGAGCCCTGACAGGTGTGAGCATGGGGCAGGCACTGTGGCAGAACAATCCCCAGCAAGGGGCTTCTATCTCTGGCAGATGTGTTTGGGGTTCCCTGGGGCCCCAGACTGCCTGCAGTGAGAGCAGGATGGCTCTCAGCTGCCATTTGAAGCTTAGGAGGAATTAATGGATCTGTCAAAAATAGATGTAGAATCAGGGAGACGGTGGCAGGGCCTGACACACTGTGGGGCTCTTTCTTCCTCAACACCTGCCAACCAGGTCCCCGTCCACCCCTGCCATCTCTGGGCCCTGCAGGACTGGTTTCTCCTCACTGGGTGGGGCCCTGGTTCTTCCTGGGGGTGGGGGTCCTTCAGGCCCCTCCTCCAGGTGCCCGTCACCCTTTCACAGTGGGTCACAGGGACCCTGCAGTTCTCTCCCTCACTCTGCTGAGGGGACGTCTGCAAGAGCAGCAGGTGACACTCATATTTCGGGAATATGAGAACTTCGCAGAAAGAACTTGGCACAGAACTTCTCTGGCTTTCCCTGACCTATGCGGGCTTGTGCCATTCGGTTTGTTCTCATTGATCCCCCTGAGGGCCAATGAAACCTAAGCTTTGCGGGAGCAGATGACAAGCTCGGCCAGAACCGTGGACTGGAACCTGTTGCGCAGCCACCCACATCCAGAAGCCTGGGCCAGAGCCAAGGGGGAGTCCCAGGGGCTGGGACCAGCCTGGTGGGGTGGAGAATATGAGCCCTCGTGCCTTTTCTCTGTCCCAGGCCTCTAGGGCCCGTATGGTGTCCTTACTGTGGTGCCGGGTGATCAAAGCCCAGCACCCATAACCTCACCACCACAGAAGCCAGGCCTTCTGGGCCCGTGTCTGTGGGGCAGGAGCCGCCTGTCCCTGGCCGCCCTCGGCCCAGCCTGGGGCATCAGCACCTGTCTAGGGCCCTTCTCACCTCTGGTTCCTTCATCTTCTCTTTATCATGATTCCCACAGCATGACACAATCACCATGGGGCACATCCGTGGTGACACTGGGCTCTAGAAAGAGAAAACAGTGTCTGCTTCCTGGCAGGCAGCTCCTGGGGTAGGGACGCTGTAGCTGTTGCCCTGCACCTGTCACTTCCTGGCCACTCCGCCAGTGTTTGCTGGGAGAACTCCAGGACCAAGGATAGCACCCTGTCCCTTAGGAGAGAGCCGTCCTGGTGAAAAGCCGGCAAACTCTTAGTTTGCAAATAAGGCTGTTCCCCAAAAGGGCAAGAAATTCTCTCACATCCCCTTCGTTCTCTGAGGCAGCTCCCCTTAGAGAGACCTGGTCCTGGGGCTCTGTGACTTAGAGGGTGGCCAGGGTGAGAGCATTCGCAAGGACAGGGCTGTGTTCACGTGACCCTGGCAGATTGGTCTCCCAGGCCACCTGTACCCATACAGGGTACTCACCCGGGCAGGGAGGCCCACCTTCCACTCACCCCAGACCCTCGTTTCCTGCCTCGGGACACTGTGCCCCAGCTATGGGCCTTGGTTAGGCCCCCGCCCCAGGGGAGCCGTGCCTGCTCACCTGGTACTTGGGCTCTGTGCGCACCTGGGCTGGGCCTCCCTCACAGCCTAATGCCACATAAGACGCCCTCCACTCTCCCCAGCCCTGCTGCCCCTAAAAGCCAACCCCACCGCAGCCCCTCTGTCAGCCAGGATTCAGGGATGAGGCCTGTGAAATGCAGCACCACATACATGAGAGCCCAGAGGAGGGGACCAGGTCCTGAAACCTGAGCCTCTTTACCGTAACTCACTGAGTCCTATGGAAGAGCCTCCTACAAGCAGGCCTTTGGGAATTGAACAAAAATCCCTTTGTTTCAGTGGGAATCACAGCAGTTGCTGAAACAGGCCCCTGAGTTGCTAATTCAATGACAGAGGCCCTTGGTCAGGCTCTGATGGGAGCACGAGAAGGGTGTCCTCTGTGTGACACTGTGAGTCCCACATCTTATAGGGGGCCCACCATGGCCCTGTCACCCTCTTCTGCCAGCTCTCTCTGCTCAGGGCATGAGAGCTGGAGGGTGCGGGGAGACTGCCCTGGGCTGCGGGAGGCCTCACTGTGAAGGCCAGTGTGCCCGCAGGCTCTGGCACCACCACAACCAAAGCAAACACGACCTACCTTGTGTGGTGCTGGTGGTGGCTTCTGGGAAATAGACAGATGGAGTGATAAACACAGGGTGGAAGGCTCTGGCTCAGCCATGCCCCCAGGAGGGGACCTACTCTGCAGTAGAGGGACAGAACAGGGCTTTGGGTGTTCATCTGGGTGCTCGCTGCATGTGGGTCTGTGGCCGGCTGGCTCCACCTGCCTGCGCTGAGCCCACACTTCCCTGTGGGTCCCCGGGGAGACATTCAGCCTAGGATGCCTGGTGCTGGTACAGGTGTCTAACCAGGTGGTTTTCATCAGCAGCCTGTATGTCTTATGAAGACAAGAGCTCCTCCCCTTCCCCTCCTGCTCCTCCCCCCTTCCTCCGCACACCCTGAACCGCCCCTGTGCCCAGCCCTCAGGGAAGTCCACCCAGCACCCTGGCTTCCTGTCCTCAGGCCCCCAGTGTGCAGACCTCAGGCCTTCCGGCATCTTGCTGGGGCTGCGCCCTCACACCCCCGGGGTCCTTCCTCATGCAGGGCTCCTGCACCTGTCCTTGGGAGCCCAGCTAGCCAGGCCTCTGCGCCCGCCCTCCCCGGGGCCCGCCTCTGCCCTCTGCTGTTGCCCTGGTTAGGCAGGACACTGGCCACATGCCATGAAGGTGACATTTTCCCCCAGCACCCCAGGGACAGAGGCCCGTCGAGCCACCAGACCTGGAGCTGCCATGGCAGGAATGGGACCACTCCATTTCTGTCCCCTGCCCAGCATGGGGCCCAGCACACCCTGGTCCTGAGTAGTGACTGGGAAGGAAGGACAGGGCTCCAGAGATGGGCAGAGGCCATGTGTGTTTTTAAAGGCACAGCTGCCCCAGAGGAGAGCAATCGGGGGACACCTGGCCTTCCCTTTGGGGCCATCGCTGCCCAGGCAGGGTGTGTGCTTTCCTCCAATCCACAGCAGAGGCCCCTCCCTGGCCTTTGTCCCTGTGGGTCCTTCAGAAGCCTGAGTCAGGGCCTGGGGTCACTTCTCCTCAGGGGTAAGCCCCTCAGAGGCCAGGCTGTGTGCCCAGGAATGGGAGGGTGGCTCTGAGCCCCCATGTGCGCAGGTGATGACCTCAGAACTGACGGGAACCTTCCCACAGGTGGAATCCCGGGGCAGCCAGGAGTCCCCATACTTTGGGGGGCTGGCTGGGGAGTGCCTGGGCCACAGGGCTGTGTAGTCAGGGGTCACTCACACTTTTACTGCGCCATCGCCAGATACAGCAGCAGCACAGCACCAGGAAAAAGGGCAGCGTCAGGAGGGGCACAGCCCAGTAGAGAGAGTGTAAACTGAGGAACACCCCTCTGGGAGGCCCTCCATCTGACTGAGTATCCTCTTTGTCTTCCGGCCCACCATCTGGAAGGGCTCTTTGTTGGGCAGGCGGTGGTGTGGCACCCAGTAAGGCAGGTGGGGTCCCCTCCTGAGGAAAGCACACGTGTTAAGTCCTCGTGCACCTGGGCAGCTTCCTGTGGTGCCCATCACTTGGCATCCCACCCCACACCTCCAAATCCACCTTTCCCCCTTACACTCAGATTGCCCCACTCTGAGAGGGCACAGCAGGACTAGGAGCCCAGGGTTGGGCCCTGAGGGCCCCTGAAGCACCCTGGGCCACAGACCCTGCTCAGAGGCTCTGCCCCAGAACCCTGCCAGGGTGTCCGGCATCCTCCGTGCTGGGCCACAGGCAGCCCCCACTGCACGCCCAGGCTGACAACACAGGGGCCTGGGGAGGAGCACAACAGTGACAGCACACAGGGTGCAGGAGGGGCTGCTGGGGCTGGGAGGAAGGGGCATTGCAGGGTCAGGGCAGCACCCTGGGTCTATCTCCCCGTAGCCTCACCCTCCCTGCCCCCTTTCCAGAGCTGCTCAGCCCCTCTGAGCCTGCACTTTCACATCTGCAGGAGCGAGTGAGTGGTCACCTGTGAGGTTTAGAGTTCACAGCCCATCCTAGTACAGGGCAGACCCATAAGGAATGGGGGCTACTGTCCTGTTGTTAGTCATAGCCAAGGAGAAGCTCACTGCATCTGTGCACTCAGCTGCTGCAAGTCCTGAACCGTTCAACCAAGTGAGATGCTTCAGAGAAGTGGGAGAGGGACAGGGTGAGATTGCTTCAGTGTCCAGGAGGCAGGGCAGAGGAGAGGGGAGGCCAGATCAGGGATGGGGGAGAAGCCACTGTGCTGGGAGTAGACGCCAGTTGGCTCCTGAGTTCTTTTCCCAATGTGCCTGTTGAAAGGTAGTTGTCACCGGGTGGGACTCCTGATGGGCAAATGGGTCAGTTCTCTCTGCCGCTGTGAGCAGACATCCGGGGATAAGCATAAACGACACATACAGTAATGTCAGTGCTGTTGAAAGCCAGGCTTGGGGACAGGAGCTGTACCCACAGCTGGGCTGGAGCACCAGTGCAGTGGAAATTCACCTCAACTATGCAGGGCCACAGGGGGTCCCAGCCTCCAGGGCTCCTGGGTCTGGGATCTGTTTTGAGGGCCTAGACTCTAGCTCCCTGCACACAGCCTCCAGCCTCCACCCCTCACCTAAGCCAGACCCAGAGGGAGCTCTGAACTCCCCACCAGGAGATTCAGGCCAGGGAGGTGGCAAGGTGGGAGTCAGCATTGTTCCGGAGTCTGCTTAGAGCCCCAAGTGTTCGGTGCCATGTGCCTTCAGGGACCTTGGCTTTGCAAAGGAGCAGAGGAGCTGCCCAGCCCCAGATACTTTTACAGAGGTACCCCCAGGGCACTTCTGAGAGTGGGGCACAGCTCCCCAGGGAAGGGCTCAGGGGCTGCAGTGGCTGTGACGTGCTGCCCAGGTGCCCAGCTGCACAAGCTGCTTGCTGGGCCTGCCCTGGACACTGTTCCTGCCTTTTGCTTCCCAGTGTGTGTGTGTCTCCGTCCAGTGAAAGGACTGAGCATAGTCCCAGAGGGAGGCTGCAGTCTTACCCTGGAAGTCACACAGCTCCTCCTGCTGACATCTAAATCCGTCTTGATGAAGGTGAGGCCATTATCCAGGCTGATATCGATGAAGACGGCCCTAAAGCACAGAAAGGGCAGATGGTGACCAGCAGCCCAGACAGCACAGTGCGTGCACTTGGCTCAACCTGCAGCCCGACAGTGGTCCTCGTTGTAATGGCTCTGATCAGTGGGCATTCAGGACACCAGATAGGAGGCAGCACGGGACAGGAGAGCCCACCCCAGGCGAGATGAGGTCACCCTCTGCAATGAAGGCTGAGCAGGCCGTGAGGAGCCCTGCATGGCCCAGATGCCCTCGTGGCCATGGGCTCAGTGGCCAGGCGGGCTGTTTGGTGTCACCTTCCAAACTCTTTTCTATGACAGGGTATGCTGGCTTGGCCCTGAAAGGCTGCCTGGGCCAAAGGGACCATCTCTGGGGCTCATCACCTCCTGTATCCTGCCCTCCTTGACAGAACCTGGGTGACAGGGGATCACAGCCCCTCAGGGGACCACCCGCACAGGTGGGTGCAGAGGAAGCTCTGCGCCCTCCCAGCACAGGTGTGAGCAGCTCCGCCAGAGGAGGCATCCTCCAAGCTGGTCACGCCATAGAGCCAAAAACTGACCACTGCTCCCTGAGCTTTTCACTTACTGGCCTGGATTAGTTATATTCGGTCCTGGGCAGGTAATGGAGGTATCTTCTACAGATATAGCCTTTATTCCTGGAAGAAATTTACACGCAAATAATGTGAATGGACATGTCCCCACATCCCCGTCTCCCCTCCTGTGGCCCTTGGCAAGCAGAGCTCACCCTTTGGCAGATGTCGGCTTCTGTTCTCTGCCTTCCTCAGAGCACCTACCTCACACCAAGTACCGTGCTGCTGACTCGACTGTCAGATTAGCTACGACCTTCTGAACATTCTTACCCCTTTGTTGGAGCTCATAATGAAAACTAAATGCTAAGTATGGTTAGGGGAAAGGATTGGTGTCTGGGTGTGGAACGGTTAGGATTAAATGGGAAAAAATCCCCAAAGAGGTGCAAACTGACTTTCCCGTTGGATATTCACAGTCCAGAGAAGAGAATGATGTGATGGGAGCCCAGCATGCAGAGGGGCCTGGACAAGCACGATTGACTGGAAAGGAGTTTTCAAACCAATATTACATGCATGGGGTGAATTTCCACTTATTAGTGTCCTCTTTAATTTCTCTTAAGAGTGTTTTGTAGTTTTCAGGGACTAGGTCTTTCACTTCCTTGGTTAGGTTTATTTCTAGGTATTTTATTCTTTTTGATGCAATTGCAAATGGAATTGTTTTCCTGATTTCTCTTTCTGCTAGTTTATCCTTAGTGTATAGGAATGCAACAGATTTCTGTGTATTAATTTTGTATCCTGCAACTTTGCTGAATTCAGATATTAGTTCTGGTAGTTTTGGAGTGGAGTCTTTAGGATTTTTTATGGCATCATCTTTCAATCTCAAGTGAACACACCATCCTGGGAGACCTGGCAGAGACTCAGAGCCCTGGGGCTGCCTCGACTTCCCTCCCACAGACTCATGGACTCGAGTCCTTGCCTCTCAAGGGAAGTGAGAGCCCAGGAAAGGGAGGGGCATGTAGCTCTTAGGGAGCACCCCACCCCACAGTCAGCCAGGGCTGCAGGAGAGGCTGCTCCCAGGGGTGTGGTGGTGCTGGGGATCGATTAATTCCTGGGCATGAGTGGCAGGTGCCCAGGCTCCCAACCAGTTACCCCTTCCACTGTGCATGTTGCTTGTTTTCAGTGTGTACGTAGTGAATGGCCAGCACGGGCCCTGAAGGCCTGGTTTGCTGTGGGACAGCCATCACTGGAGGAAAGGAGGGGCTACTTACGGATGGTTTCCTTTCGAACTCGAAACTGACAGAGAACTTCATCCTGGTGACTGTCCTGAAAACCTTTTCCAATAACCTTGATGTCCTTTTTACCTGCAAGAGTAATATCCAAATGTCTGTGTGAGGAAGCGCTGAGTTATTTTCCTCAGATCACAACTATGGCAGACCACCCCCAAAACAGAATTCCCATGAACTCTGGGGAGGTTGCAGTTGCCTTGTGTCCCTGCTGCCCTGCAGGCTCTGCTCTTGACCACTCGTCCTCCTGTAGGAACTACAGCTCCCAGGGGTCTGGTTCACTCTGGGAATTGTAGGTAAGTGGGGGCAGGATGATGGTTTCAGGGTTTTGAGCAGAAGAGATGTTGAGTTAAAGGGCTGTGCTTTGCCCAGACAGCTGCTCCTTTTACATTCTATCTGCCCTCACCGTGTTCCTCCAACAGTAAAAATCGCAAGGAGACAGTGAACCCAAGAGTGAGCACAGCCAGCGTGCAGGGAGCTGCACTTCCCCCGCTGCACTCCTGCTGCCCACCAGCTCTGAGAGCGCAGAGGGACCTGCAGCCCCAGGACAGGAGACAGATCCTTTCTGGAAGGGAGGGCACTCTTTCTGGGAGAAAAGTTATATACCAGGCTGGCTGGGCTCCAGGGGACAGGGGATTAAAGAAAGTAATTACACTAAACTTATGTGGCAGTCATTTTGCAGTGTGGTCACCAAGCCATTGTGCAGTGTGCTCTAAAGTGATAGTCGGCCCATTACAAACCTGGGTAAAATTGCCATCACATGCCCGCCCCCCAGCACACCCCAGGCATCCATACCTCCTCACACAGACTTATACACACCTGAAACAAACGTTCTATGGACCAAATCGCATTCCAAACCACAATTCCCCCACAGACACCACATTCATGTACACACAGCGCATTATACACATTCACACCACATGCTCCACACACACACACACATGGTGTGCTCATACACACCACACAGACTGGAACCACATACACCACTCCCACCACACACATGGCACATTCACAAAACACACACACACACACTCCTGCGTTTACAACAGCGACTCCAGTTATTACCTCCAGTGCAGATAGGGGAGAAATCCACAGATGTAATCTGCACGCAAGATCTCCCAATGAGCTGAAATAGAGAGAGAGGAGTGGCAGGGTCATGGGCGTGAACGGCGGAGGCACGGTGTGCAGCCCCCTTCATCCCCCCCTCACTTACTGGGTCAACGATGTCTTCCAGTCCAGGGTATCCACTGTCCACTTGAAACAGATGATCCTCTTCACCAGCAATTTCCAACAGCTGAAAGGGAGAGGAGATGACCTGAGCCCACAGCCAGGGGTGATGACCCAGAGGTCCCCATCCCAGGAGACAGACACCGGGGGCTAGACCCTGGCATCCACCAGCAGCCCACCCTCAGGGAAGGGAAAGCTCTTCCACCCTCACCTCTGCTGTGCAGGTCTTACACAACACTTGTTATTCATTCTGAATGGCCACCTTGTATATCTATCTTTCAACTCCCTGGGCCCAGCCTAAGTGGAGAGGGCCCCGACCCCACTCCCCAGGCACTTTTTGGTGGGTAGAGGCCGATCCTCTGGGTGACCCTGAGAGAGCCATCTTTGAAGCTTTCCCCAGCTAGACTCACAAGTGACCCCTCGTTACCTGCTCAGAATTACCTGGGATAGCTGATAATTTTGCACACCCACGAAATACAGAGTTGCCCCCAACTGCCTGGATTTTGCAGCCTGAGAAAGAGGAAGTGTTGGGTATAATAAATTTGGTCCAAATATGTGGACCAAAAGGCTGGTAACAATGGGCTTGACTCACTTCAACTTGTGTCTCTGCAAACGATTCTGGCAGCAGTTGTTCACCTGTCAGCACGATGATGAGGCTGGGTACCTTTGCTCCTGTGGGAGAGGCAGGGCATGTCTGGGTCTATGAGAGCAACTGTCACAGGCTTCCAAGACCCGAGCACTGCTCGCCACACCTCACCCTCCTGGGGAAAGGCCACCCCGACCTGAGCACCTGCCTCCCACATGCCTGGAAGGCTTTGCAGCTTATCATGCAACAAGAAGGGCCCCTAGCCCAGGATCCACTTTGCAGATGAGGAGACTAGGCCCAGCTTAGGGTTCTTCCTACAGAACTGTCACTTCTACCAGACAGTACAACCTTTGCCCTGAAAGGCAAGTCCAGCAATTTCACAGGATAAGCATCAGCCTTCCAGATGAGCAAAGGCAGGTGTGGGCACACCTACTGTGCAAGACTCCCGCAGGTCCATGCAGGCCTGTTCCAGCTCTGGGCCTCACCCACAGCTCTCCCGCGGGCACCTGTAGACCCAGGCTCAGGGCTTGAGGTCAGAGTCAGGTGAGCAGTAGACCCCTTCCCCAGCTCAATGTCCTTCCCTGGACCCACACATCTTTCCTAGACCCTACAGCCAAGATGAAGATGTTTCTGGGACAGGCACAGTCTTTTACACTACGGGAGACACAGAGCAGGAGCATCAACCCAAGGGAAGGAGCCGAAGGGAGAAGGAGTCAGGGAGGGATGTGTGCTCAGCAAGAGGGAAGGTCAGGCTCTCTCCTTACACTGAAGCCCCACCGCTCTAGGGCCCTCTGGGTTTCCCCCTTTCTTCTTCATGCAGCCCAGCTCCAGGGCCAGCGCCTCCTATTTCCTAGGAACCATGACGTCGCACACGCGACCCCTTGCTGTGCTGCGGAACATCACGGGGTGGCTTTCATCCCCACTGCTCAGAGCAGGAGGCTGCCGCTCAGAGAGGGCAAGCAGCTGGCTCCAGGAGTCAGCACCAGGAAGCCTGGGAAGGGCTGCACCAACCTCACTGAGGCCCAGGCCTGGCTCTTTCCCCGGACACCATCGCCAAGAACGCAGGAAGCAGCTCACTTACCTGCAGCACTCTTTCTTTCGATCTGCTCATTGGCCTGCAACAAAATGAAGGAAAATGTGTGTCGGGGGGACAGTGAGATGACCCAATGATGACCCTCTGAGAACTTGATAAAGCAGAGCCACATCTCAGAAATCTAGATTCCGTACCTTTTTCAATCCGTGCTGCATATTTATGGCTCCTGAAGGTATTACATGCAACAATTCGACAAGAGCATTGTTTATTTTTTTTCTGAAAAAAAAAATCAGAGCAGGTGGGAGATGGAATGAGGGGTTGCCTCTTACAACCAGCCCCAGGCTGTCCTTGTCCGTCTGCACGTGCAGCCCTGCCGGGACGGGTGAGGGCCACGTCAAGGAGCCCTGTCCCGGCCCTCTGTCCTGTGCCTTTGGCATTGGCTGGCCTGGTTCCCACCTTCCCAGTCCCCTATCCGGTGAGCAGGGTGGTGAGGGGACGCTGCTTTCTAGCCCCATAGGTGTGGCCTGGGCTTCTCTGTGCTCAGCTCTGTCTAAGCTGTGCAGAACTGGGAACCTCACCAGGGATATACCTCGACTCCATGGAGAGTACGGGGAGATCCCAGCTGTGATTCCATCACAGTGTGACTGGCAGCACGACCGCCCCCCGGGGGCCCTGGTGAGGGCACACTGTACTCCCACACTTAAGGCAGAGCTTGGAAGTCACCATGCTCACCCTGGCCCCTCCTGTCCACAGGCCCTGGGACCCTCCAGTGCAGGGTCCTCGGGCTCTGCCTGGTGCTCCTCCCACTCTCAGGGGGGTTCCAGTCATTTTCCTCCATGAGAATCTTAACCTCCCTGCTACTCAGAAGCTCCATAACGTCCCACCTCCCACCTAGACCCTCCTGGGATGCAGGCCCACGGGGCCTTCCTCCAGCACCCTGTCCCAGCCTGGTGTTCAGGACCCACTCCTGGGCTCACCTGACCAGACTCACTGGGAACGTGCTCCCCTCCTGAAGCACCCACACTTGGATGATACCCATCCCTTCCTCCCTGGTTCTGACTGTCCCCTCTTTCCCCAGCGGCCCAGGGCAGAAAGTGACACACAACAGCAGGTGCCAGGCTGTGTCCCTAAAGGCCCCCACATCTGCTCCACCTGATCTGGGAATCTTCACAGTCAGCCTGCTCTAGGGAAAGGGTAGAGCACGGAGGGAAGGACTCGGGTCGGAAGGAGGGCTGGGCTCGGAGGGGAGGAGTCTGCCTACCAGCACAGGGTCCGGCCAGGGCCAGTGCAGAGGCGGCAGTGGGGCCCAGGGGGCCAGGGCTGAAGGTCAGGGTGGGCAGTGAGGGGAGGGTCCAGGACAACACCAGTGGGTTCCTCGGTGTGGGATCAGGGTCCCCCTCTGCTCCCTGGCCCTCCCTGTGGCCTGATCGCTGGGTCTGCTTTAGGGGATCAATGAAACACTTACCTGTCCGAGGTCAGCTGCATATTGACGTGGCCTTGCGTCGAGTAGGTAATGAATGACATACGCTGTTTGGGGCTTGGGAGGAAACATGGGCTTGTGAGCAACTATACACACAGGCTGAAAGTGATGCTGATGTGCAACAGGGAGGGGGTGCCCACCAAGTTCCCTGTTCTCCATTCTGTCTCTTTTAGTGTGGAGTACATTTCCTGCACTCCAGAAGTTCTCATAACTTTAGTGAAGGATTATGAGGCCTGGAAGGCGGGCAGCCCTCTTGTCAGAGTGCGGCATAGCACCCTGTAGAGCCAAATCCCAAAAGTCTGCTTTCTCTCTCTGCCTCTCTCTCTCACACACACACACACATGCACACAGGGCTGCTGCCTGCACAGGGAGATAGACAGCTACATGCTCTTCCACGAGGGCCCTCCCAAGCTGCCTCTCCTCTCCTGTCAAATTCTCTGTACTTTCACTTCTCCTCCTCCCTAGACGATCTTCCCCACCTTCCTCCCCCTCATCTCGAATAAATTATCCTCCCTCATCACCATTCATATTCTCCCCTCCCTTTTCATCTTCTGGCCACTCTCTTCTGATCACCTGGCCCTCATTATCCTTTAGTTACATTGTTCCCACAGGTCCTGTGGAGCTCCCTACTGGTCCTGGCTCTTGTCCACAATTATGAGACTTCTCTGCCTGGAGTACAGCTGGAGTCCTATCTTTCTGGAGCCCCACCAGCCCCTCTGATCACGCATCGTCCAGAGCTCCCTATGGCCCGCAGCAGGAAATCCAAGTCCTGCTTCCTGGCATTACTGGCCTCTCTGCCTTGGCCACAAATGGACCTCTCACTTCATCTCCCAGCCTTCCCATGTTAACCATGTTCAGCCAAATAGACCTCTTACTGCTCAAATGACCTTCATGGTTCCTGTTACCGTGAATTTCTCATCCTTGAAGATCTAGATAAAATCTCCACATCCAGATGTTTGGTTACAGTGTTAAGTAGTTTGCCTATTTCCTAATCTATGAGGTCCTCCAGGGAAGACTGTGCCCCTGAAAACAAGGCCTGACTCCCAGAAAGGAGCCAAGCAAGGTTGCAGAGATCTTAGGAAACAAATGGGATCAGTACTTTTCTCCTGCTTCAGAACACTGCCTTGAGCTTTGTGACCTGAGGCAGTCCCGTGTCCACTCATCTAAACAGCAATGTACTCAGAGAGGAAAACGCCCTGCAACACAGAGCTGGAAAGCCATACTTTTTAAATCTGTTCACCAAATCCTTCACAAAGCTCTGTGTGAACTCCCAGTTGTTGTTTACACTGTGTGACCTGAAAAAAAAGACAGTGAGTCAGAGACAGAGGTGCATGTATCGTGCGAGCATAGTTTCTGCCCTCCCTGCCTTCCTGCAGGCCCTTAGCAAGCTCCTCCACGAGAGCCCCCAGCTCCTGAAATAGCTAGAGCCACCACAGCTCCTGACGTGAAATCAGTGAGTTACCCTCATGTTGACTTTATTCAATGTGAGTGGCAGCAATTGACCAATTAGACCTGTGTGGGAGGGGATGAGGGACTTCTCGGATGAGGGGCTTTTGGTGGCAAACATGGATAGTTGATCATGCAACGTGGGAATGTTAGGAAATGAGGTGGGATGCTTTGGTCGGTAAAGCCTCCAGAAATTTGGATATGCTGGCTCTCCTGGTCCCCCATTTCCCCTTGGGAATCACCATTCCCAGCTCTCTGCTCCTCTGCCAGCCCTTTAACACTGGGGTGGGTCACGGCTCTCAGCTCTTCCTCCCCACCATTCCTTCTGCCTCCATGGCTACATCAAAAACTGTCAGCAAATAGTGAGGAAACTAAGGACAGATGACCCAAACATCAAGATTACCCAGTGAGGAGGCGGAGCCAAGATGGCGGCGTGAGTAGAGTAGCGGAAATCTCCTCCCAAAACCATATATATTTTTGAAAATTCAACAAATACAACTATCCCTAAAAGAGAGACCAGAAGATACAGGACAACAGCCAGGCTACATCTACACCTGAGAGAACCCAGTGCCTGGTGAAGGGGGTAAGATACAAGCTGCAGCCCGGCAGGACCCGAGCGCCCCACACCCCAGCTCCAGGTGGGAGGAGAGGAGTCAGAGTGGGGAGGGAGAGGGAGCCCAGGTCTGCTGAATACCCAGCCCTAGCCATCCGCACTGGAGCGCAGACACAAAGTGCATGGGGCGCTGGGTATTAGGGAAACTGGACAGTAAGACCTGTGAGTGGGTCCCCGCAGCAGGGGCCCCTGGGATAAAGAAAACTGAGTGCTTTTTGAAAGACTTAAAGGGACAGGGACCGCACCGCTGGATGGAAACATCCCGGGACACTTAGCCCAGCAGCTGGGAATCCCAGGGAACCCTTAGGCAGCAGCGCAGCTCGGAGGCCCCTCATGGGGATAAACCGCCTCCCGCCCATTTCCCCTCCGATGCTGCTCCGCCACAGTGGAGCAGCAGCCTGAGGCTGGCCACACGCACAGCAGCAGAGCAGCTTCTTTCACAGCGGCCCGGCAAGAATTAGAAACCACATCTGCATGCAGCTGCCCAGCACAAGCTGCTAGGGGTCACTGCTCTCCCAGGAGAGGAAGGCCACAAACCAGCAAGAAGGGACATTCTCCCAGCTGACACACACACCAGCTCCCCACAACTACCTCTATTGCCATGAAAAGGCAGAATAATTTGCTATAGACCAGATTAAGCCAGACATCCTCCCCTGAGAAGGAATCTGGGGAGATAGACCTAACCACTTTCCCTGAAAAAGAATTCAAAATAAAGGTCATAACCATGCTGATGGAGCTGCAGAGAAATATGCAAGAGCTACGGGATGACGTCCGGAAGGAGCTTACAGAAATGAAACAATCTCTGGAAGGATTTATAAGCAGAATGGATAAGATGCAAGAGGCCAGTCTTAAGCAGCGAAAGCAGTCTTAAGTGGAAAGTATACAGCAATCCAGGCATATTTAAAGAAGGAAGAACAATCCCAAATGAATACTCTAATGTCACAATTATTGAAATTGGAAAAAGAAGAACAAATGAGGCCTAAAATCAGCAGAAGGAGGGACATAATAAAGATCAGAGAAGAAATAAATAAAACTGAGAAGAATAAAACAATGGAAAAAATCAATGAAACCAAGAGCTGGTTCTTTGAGAAAATAAACAAAATAGATAAGCCTCTAGCCAGACTTAAGAGAAAAATAGAATCAACACACATCAACAGAATCAGAAAGGAGAAAGGAAACATCACAACAGACCCCACAGAAATACAAAGAATTATTAGAGACTACTATGAAAACCTATATGCTAACAAGCTGGAAAACCTAGAAGAAATGGACAACTTCTTAGAAAAATACAACCTTCCAAGACTGACCAAGGAAGAAACACAAAATCTAAACAAACCAATTACCAGCAAAGAAACCAGACATACATAGAAGACATAATACCCATTCTCCTTAAAGTTTTCCAAAAAATAGAAGAGGAGGGAATATTCCCAAACTCATTCTATGAGGCCAACATTACCCTAATACCAAAACCAGGCAAAGACCTCACCGAAAAAGAAAAGCTAGATGGTGGTCTTCAATCCTTTTCAAGAGAAAAGTCCCAGGGAACAAATGCCTGGGGCATTCTTTCTGCCCCAGGGAGGCCGCAGAGAGTCTGTTCCTTGAATGTGACCGGACAGTCCCTGCTTCCCTCTCTCAGAGCCTGGGGCCCCCTACTGACCCCAGGGACAGCACTGTTCTATGGCAGCGACTAGAGCAGGTGGGCCACTCACGAGTCTAGGACGAAGTACACGTCGTAAGTGCTCCAGCAGGATTCCCCATCTGCTGGGCTCTCCTGGAGCCTGGAGCTGGGGTCGTGACCTTGGTCCTGGGTGGGGTAGCGGAGGGTGCTCCTGGTGGTCGGGAGCGGAGATGGCGGCAGCAGCAGCAGGAAGACCACCAGCATGGGGCCCCGCATCCTGGGGCCGCTGTTCTTGCCTCGGCCCAGTCCCTGGGGGCCCAGGCGGGCCCCGTAAACTGCAGGCCACCTCAGGCCAACACCTCCTCTGCTTCCTCCCGTGCTCAGGGTCCTCGGCACTCCCAACCTCAGCTCTACTCACGCTCTGATCAATATACCTTGCACCTGCAAGCAGCCACCTGATACCTGCCCTGTGGGTCCAAGTAGCAAGTGGTTGGCTGTGGGGTGATGGCCCCACTATTTATGCACCTTCACCCCACCCTGCTGAGGTATGTCCATTATGATGGACAATAGGTTGCCATGGTGACCTTGTGACCTGCAGCTCTGCCCAGTGTTCTCCCTGTGGGCAACCCAGGCAGGAGTTTGAAGGGGTGGTCAGATGAGGTCTCCATTTGTCCCTTATCCCAAACCCTCCCAGGGAGTCTACAATTTCAAGGAAACCCGGCCCTTTGGTAAACTGACAGAGGGCAGCTGAGGGGGCCTCCACACAGACATCACTGAGTGTGGGGAGGTGGAGAGAAGAATGCTCTAAGTTTATTTGTGGGGACACTGAAGTCACCCAAGGGATAGAAGGATCTAGAAGAAGGCTGTGAAAGCAGGCCAGTGTCCTTTGTGAATGAGGGACATTCCAGTTATCTGCTCTGTGTATTGAACCATCCCAGACCTAGGGACATAAAACAGAAAAATTTCATATGCTCATAGGTTCTGTGGATTAGAAATTCAGAGATGTCTGAGTGGCCATGGTTGACTTTCCTCCATGGAAAACCCACTTTCTCTTTCATGTAAATTTTGGAATCATAAATTCTTGACTCACCTAAACCTCTCTTAGTATTTTAGCAAAATAAAGTTAAATATGTAGATACATTTGGAGGGATTTGAATCTGCTGTCTGGACTCTCCTACCAGTGAACATCAGGCACCCGCCCTGCTTCCCTCCTTAGGGGCAAAACCAGCCACGGGTTTCTGATCTGAAATGCCCAGGTGCCCCCTACTGGGTGCAGGCAGGGGCGCACAGAGGGGGACGCAGCTCTGAGGGCCACCCTGCCCCAATCCCAGCGTGGGCTGCAGTGAAGGCTACTCCCAGGTGCGCGGTGGTGCTGGGGACGGATTAATTCCTGGGTGTCACTGGCAGGTGTCCAGGCTTGGCTCACTGTGGGGATGCAGCCTGTTCTGGGAGGATTTTCACTGGAAGAAAGGAGGGCCTACTTACCGGGAATTTCTTGTTACCAAATCTGAATTGACAAATAACTTCCTCCGTGTAGTCCATACTGAAAGCTTTTCCCAATAACCTTCAATTTCTTGTTAACTGCAAGAGTAACATATGTCTGTGTGAGGAAGGGCTGAGGTATTTTCCTCAGATCACAACTATGGCAGACCACCCCCAAAACAGAATTCCCATGAACTCTGGGGAGGTTGCAGCTGCCTTGTGTCCCTGCTGCCCTGCAGGCCCTGCTCTTGACCACTCGTCCTCCTGTAGGAACTACAGCTCCCAGGGGTCTGGTTCACTCTGGGAATTGTAGGTAAGTGGGGGCAGGAGGATGGTTTCCGGGTTTTGAGCAGAAGAGATGTTGAGGTAAAGGACTGTGCTCTGCCCAGACAGCTGCTCCCTTTACATGCTATCTGCCCTCACCACTGGGAATTGTAGGTAAGTGGGGGCAGGAGGATGGTTTCCGGGTTTTGAGCAGAAGAGATGTTGAGGTAAAGGACTGTGCTCTGCCCAGACAGCTGCTCCCTTTACATGCTATCTGCCCTCACCCTGTGCCTCCACCAGTAAGAACCCCAAGGAGAAAGTGACCCCAAGAGTGAGCACAGCCGGCTTGCAGGCAGCTGTACTTCCCCCGCTGCACTCCCGCTGCCCACCGGCTCTGAGAGCGCAGAGGGACCTGCCGCCCCAGGACAGAGACAGATCCTTTCTGGAAGGGAGGGCACTCTTTCTGGGAGAACAGTTACATACCAGGCTGCCTGGGCTCCAAGGACAGGGGACTGAAGGCGGGCGGCTCCCCGGGAAGGCCAGGTGGAGCTGGGCGGTGAGGAAGGGTGGCTGACCACCAGGACTGGCAGGGGCACAGAGGGAGGTGCCTGCCCTGGGGCGGCCAGGTGGGGGCTAGGGCACCACGTGCTGCCCAGCGCAGGTTTGTGGAGAGAATTCCCACACTGTGCACCCACTGTTCACCTGTGTGTCCCCTGCCTGCAGCAATTCTACTGCTGGGACTGATCCCGGGAGAAACCCTGCCCCACGCCCGCAGAGAGGTGCGCTTGGGAAAGCCCCCCAGGGCGGCTTGTAGCAGCGTCTCCTTCAGAACGATCTTACTAGTGGAGACTAATGACATTAATTTGGTCCTTCAACGTACCGGACTGCTGTGCAGATGGCTGCAAATTACAGGACTTACAAACCAGCAACAAATGGAGGAGAAAAGTCGAATTAGAAATAATTGGGAGCAGACCAGGGAAACTCAAGGAAGCTCTGAAAGTAAGTAGTGGGCAGGAAGGAAAGAGTCAGGAAAACTACACAGACACAGAAGCTCAAACAACACACTGCAGCCGGCAGCCTCCACGCTTCAACTACTTCAACGGCTGTTGAGGGCAGCGCTCGGGTTTTCACAACTAACTAGGATGTGCCTGGAGGTGATATCAAGCCATTTAAAGGAGATTAAACGCCTTACACGGGTTTTAAAAGGACATGAAAGCACATAATTAATCTTGGAAGGATTCCTGTCCCAAGTCATTTGTCGCCACAAATCTTTTTACATGTTCAAAAGTTAACTCACTACAAAATTCAGATGAGGAGTTTCTCCGGAGCATGCGCCAAGGAACCTCTGCAATTACACCAGCAATTTTTTAAACAAACTGTGCAGTGTTTCAGGGTGACAGCCTAAGACAGCATCATTTCCCTAAGAGGTAAAAACAAGATAAAGTCTTGGCCCTCATCGCTCTTAAGTGTTTTTCATCTGCCAGACAGACGCAAACGTGTGCCAGTAGATCTCTTCCCGCCTCAACTTCCTACATCCTGAAGGCAGTAAGAAGCGACAAATGCCTGTTCCTCACTGCAGAGCTGACAACCCCCAAATGACGATTTTACATAATAAAAGATGTTTACTGAGGCTTACAGATTCCCTGGTCACCCGCTTCAAAGGCAGCTGGCAAATAACAGATCCAAAGATTAGCAAATTAAGGCCAGTAAACAATTTCCCTAAGGAGAATGCTAGCTCTCTTGGGCCTCTGGTACTTCCCGAGACACCCAGAAAATAGCAGATGAAAAAAGACTAAATCCGATGGCAGCTGAACAAGAAAACAGACTGTGCCAACCTGGACTCACTCTACCACCACTGAAGCAGCTTCCATGGGCCCTGCCTAGAGAAACACGGGTGCATTCTGGCAGTGATCACCCGCTGTCCAGCCCAAGGGGGGTCGGCACTCCCCAGTTAAAGGCATTCACCTTACCACCAAACAGAAACTACAAAATCTCATCTGTAAGGGCCCTAAACCCTACGACATTATAGACAATTTTAACTCTACAAGTTCTCTTACAGAGTTGAACACCCAAAAGTGAGTGCGAGGCGGTCTTCAGTCAGTAGCCCCGGCTCCTCTTTCTGCGTCTGCCTCTGCATGAATCAAGTGACCTGGAGAAAGTTCTCTCATCTCTTTATTTATCCCCTTTTCCCTGCCAGGTACAAGATTAGGTCAAAGCCACCAATTTCTTTTTTCTTTTCCTTTAGAAATAGGGTTGGGTTGGCTATAGCTGGGCAGCAGGCAACCTCAGCTTGGAGAGGCGCCTTGAAAGGTTGGAGAAAGTTTAAGATTAAAAGGTTACACACTTAGAAAGTGTGGGCGACCTCAGAGAGAGGAGTGCCCTGAAAGGTTGGGGGTTCCCCCTTTTAAGGATTTTTCAGGAATGTGATCATGGGCTGAGGGTGCAGACCTGTTAAGCGGTCCCTGAATATTTAAAATTAACTTAATACAGGAAGTTTACTGCTCTGATTTCTCCTGAGATAACTGGCCTCTGGGTCTGAGAGCCTATCAAACAAGACCACCTGCCCAGCCCCCAAGGTGGGCTGAGTGCTTGTCTGCTAAAGAGTAAGTTAAGAATCTTCTTAACTTCCTGCCTTTTACTATGTTGTTTATTGCTGGGACTGCATGCTAAATTCCTCCCGTTTACCATCTAGCGTATTCACCAGGCACAGTGTGGCTGAACAGTAAGTGTATTTGTGTGTGTGTGAGACACACACACACAATTGTTAAATGAATGAGATGAATACATTTCCAGAGTCTAATGAGCCATGCACCACCCCAAAACTTCCGGATCAAAAAGCCAGTGTTGGGGCGGCTACTTACTAAAAGCTGCTGCTGCTGTGAGGCGGCGAGGTCTGCGTGGGAACAGGCAGCGGGCGGCCCCCTGCGGGGGGGTGGGCGGAGTCTGAGACCGGAGGCGGCCGCAGCGCGGAGCAAGGAGGCGTCGGTTGCGGGCCGACACCGCTCTCTTACGATGCTGCCCGCCCACCACCCGCTCCCACCGCCCACCGACATGGCCCCCGCCTGCCGCCGCCCGGACCGGGGCCGCCGCTCCCCACTGCTAAGCCGCCTGCCGCCTCTGCCCGCCCGCGCCGCCTCTCACCTCCGCCCCGCGCTGCCCCTCTGCGGGCGGCGGAGCAGGGCCCCAGCCCACAGACGCCCTCGTTGCGGAGCCGCCCCCTCGGACGCCGGCCCGCAGGGTCGCCCGGACGCGCCTGCGGCTACCTGCCAGGAGCTGCGGCTGCGAAGACAGGCCGTCGTGGAAGAGAGGGCGCCAGGTCCTGGTGAGGGGCGCCCTGGACTGCAGACGGCTAATGGCGGAGGGCGGTGGCGAAGGAGGCGGGGGGCGAGGGGCGAGGGGCAGGGGGTTGCTGGTAAGCGCCGGCGGCATCGTTTGGTGGGGTGGGTAGCGTCGGTGAGACACCGCAAAGCCGTATCTGCTGCTTAGCCACAGTGCCTCTGGCCCTGACAACTGCCCCGTCCAGATGCCGTCACCTGCCCTGGTCTCACTCCTGCCCGGCCTCCCACGTGTCCCCGAAACTGCTCTCACTACTCTCCCTGTATTTTCCTCTATGTCAAATCAAAGGACTGAGTCTCAACTGATGTGATGTAGTAGGTGGGGGCAGGAGGCATGGTTCTAATTTATCTGCAACCAAAGTGACATTTATCATAGATGTAATGAGTTGGCTTATCAATGTGGCAAATTACATTAATCAAACTTTTCAATTCAAGACAGTCTTGCATTCCTGGGTGTCTGTGTATGTTGATAATATATTATATAATATATGTATATGTATTTAACTCATTGCTGGATTTTGTTAGCTAACATTTAATTTTGCAACTAATTTCATGACTGAGAACCATCAGTAATATTCGTTTCCTGTACTTTATCTAATATCGACTTTGCTAGTCTCATAAAGTGATTTGAGGAACGTTTCCTCCTTTTCTGTGTAAGACTGAAATGTTCTGTCCTTAAATCTTTGGTACAATTTGTCTATAAAGCACCTAGGTCTATGACTGATATTTTTTAACTATAGAGTTTATTTCTTTACTGATAGAACAATTTAGATTTTCTACTCCTTTTGAGTTATGCTTGATAATTTCTCCTTGGCACTTACCCATTTCATCTAAGTTTTCAAGTTTATTAACATGCAACTATTGTCATATTTAAAATCTCTGCTGCATTTATAGTCAGGGATCTGCTTTATTACTAATATATTTGTGCTTTCTTCCTTTTCTCCTTA